CAGCTGATAAGGAGCCGCTCAAAGGTCCGAGGCGTTCATACGGTGTAGGTGCCCTCGCTCGGCTGTTTTCCCCGGCGTTCAGCTGAGTTGGCACCGCCTGGCCTCATAGACTTTGCTCACACTTATTCATGCTCATTTTGCACTTTTGTTCTATCCCAGTTTCTGAATCCTGCTCCACGTGAGCGTTGTGTGAAGCTCAGCAGAAGTGCAGATAACAGCGCAGACCTTGTCTCCCGGCACAGGTCTGATAAGACGGCTCAGATCGGCCCTGTCCCGCGCGGATGACGCTGCTTTTACCCGTATAAAGACACGCCGGTCGTGTGGGAGAGACTGTCGGCGGCTGTTTATAGTGCCGAATGATGCGTCCTAAAAACCCTCTGCTGATCCGCATTCCCCGTCAGGAGGAAGCCTCCAATCGAACTTCCTTTTTTCCCCCAGTAAAATCAATGAAACATTTTTATGTTCAATAATATTTTTTTATTTTGTATTTTGAGGGGATTTTATGGTACTATGTAATATTTATGCAATAATTATGACACCTCCAAATGTAAAAAAAATAGTCTCTTAGTAAAATAAATGATATATGGATATATATATATATATATATATATTTATTTATTTATTTAATATTTAGTATTTTCAGGGAATTTTATGGTACTATGTAATATTTATGGATTAATTATGACACCTCCAAATGTAACTTTTTTTCTCTCAGTAAAATTAATGATATATGTGTATATATATATATGTATTTAATATTTTGTATTTTCAGGGAATTTTATGGTACTATGTAATATTTATGCAATAATTATGACACCTCCAAATGTAACTTTTTTTCTCTCGGTAAAATTAATGATATATATATATATATATATATATTTATTTATTTATTTAATATTTTGTATTTTCAGGGAATTTTATGGTACTACGTAATATTTATGCAATAATTATGACAGCTCCAAATGTAAAAACATTGTCTCTTAGTAAAATTAATGATATATATTTTTGTTTATTTATCTACTATTTTGTATGTTCAGGGAGTTTTTTTTTCTTTCAGTAAAATCAATATATATTTTTGTTCAATAATATATATTTTTATTTAATATTTAGAATTTTCAGGGAATTTTATGGTACTATGTAATATTTATGGATAAATTATGACACATCTCCAAATGTACCTTTTTTTCTCTCAGTAAAATCAATGAAATATATTTTTGTTCAATAATATTTTTTATTTAATATTTTGTATTTTCAGGGAATTTTAAGATACTATGTAATATTTATGCAATAATTATGATCCATTTTATAAAGTATGACACCTCCATATGTAATATTTTATCTTAAATTTAAATAATAATATTTTCTTCATATTTGGTATTTTGAGGGAATTTAATGGTACTAGGTAATATTTAGCCTATGGAATAATTATGATCCATTTGTTTTCAAATTTTTTACAATACAGTACAAATAATTAATCCATATTTTTTTACTCTAATTGTTTTAAGAATTTTTCAAGATATATGAAGATTTATAAGATTTATATATCTCAGAACCCTTCAAAATGTGAATATAACTATAATAAAACTAAAATAACACTGGTAAAAGTGACTTTTTAGGACCATTTAACTTTGCATCGTTTAATTAATCAGAATGTCACATTTAACCCCCAAATTCTCATTAATATCATTTATGAATTTTCCGTTTGATTTGTATTTTTTGTGATTCAATTATGATTCTCTAAAATATTTTTTGTATTACAGTAATGAAAATGATATTTCCAAAATATAAAAAAAAGGAAATCTTAAAATAGGCTTTGTTCCTCATGCAAAAATATAATATTGCATTTCTGTTTATTTGATCTGTGTGAATCAAGAATATGAAAATAAGCATATGATCAAAGGCGTGAGTTTAATGCTGTTAAATGTAGGTTTGATGCTTCTTGAGCCTTTATAACTAACTGGCAGTATTTTTGGAAGATATTTAAGTGTTCGGACTATGTACTTTATGCGTTTCTTCACTTTGTCCTTGTCTTGCAATGTGAGGAATATGCCGTCCCGGATATTTCCGCTATCCAAAGGTCATATGCGGTCATATTGTTGAAAACTGGTTTAAAGATAACTCAAACTCATGACGTGTCTTACAGCACTGCAGCTCAGTGTCAGCAGATCCTCATTTTGCAGATTTACCAGTCAGCACAGAGACTGTGAATTATTATTATAACCTTTAGTGTAGTTTCAGGCTCTACTAGAACAGGTTTTCCTGCTTGAATGTTGATTATTCTCCTCATATTCTCATTGTTGCGGCTCCTCTCTTCCCAGTCTGTCAGTATCGCCAGAGCCCGTCTACGGAGAGCCTGGCCACTCCCTATTAAGTCCTATTGTACCGAATTGTGGTTGTAGTTCCACCAGAGCTCCACTGGGGGCGATCGCCCATGAGTGAATGGGAGTCTATGGAGCCGTTGAGTTTACCTGATAAAGTTGACCTTGACCTTGACCTTGAACGAGTACTTATGTCCTTTCCATTTCTTCCAGGTTGAGTTGTTGTTGCCCATAACACGCTAGCATTCTGCTAATGAACGCTGATTGGTCAGTGAAGGACTGATTACGACCGCTTGATAGCATCGTAGCATCCGAAGCGGGACCAGAATGTTATTAACAAAAACTCTTCTAGCACGTGTGTTTACCTGTGTCCGCTGTCTCGAGAGAACAGAAAGTGCAGAGCGCGAACGCACCGAAGTGACTGAAGGATTGCCGTTAAGCAGTATCTCTGGTCACGCGATGTGTGTGACGTCATTGACATTTTAAAAGACTTTTTAAAGCAAATAAGTGACTCTAAACAATCTAACACCCAACAATGTGTCATTTCTTTGCACTCCTTTCGAACACAACATTCAAATTACTAGACAAAAAATTATATCCTGAGAAAAGTGTATTTGGAGGGGTATATCTCCATAGACCTCCATTCATTCTGCACTCGTCCTGTGAGCGCCCTCATGTGGAGCCGGAGTGGAACTGCAGCCAGTTCAGGAGCCGGACGTTTACTGAGAGTGGAAGTTCTTCCCTTATTAGACACTCTCTGGTAACGCTCTGTTTACTTCCTGTCTCTGTGAAGCCCCTTCTTCTGAAAAGCACACTGTGCTCTGATTGGTCGGCTGGAGCAGTGTGTTGTGATTGGTCGAGCGCTTCCAGTGTGTTTGGGAAATGCCCCGCCCCTTTCCATAACCGCCAGTTTAACACACTACTGACTAACTCAACCAGGCCCCGCCCCTTTATTCTGCGCATTAATTATTATAATGAGGAATATTGTGACGTGTTCGTTCCCGGGAGAAACTCAAGACTACAGTGGAGGCGTTTCAGGAGTTCAGAAACACTGACTCTGGGACAGACGAGTATAATGTGCTCTAATGAATCATTCACACAATCCTCAGTTTGGGTTTTCATGCTGACTTTCAGAGAAACTCTTGTGACTCTTTCCCAAACAAGCAGAGAGAGAGAAATGAAAGAGAGAAGCTGTGTGTGTTTCTGCAGTGACTCCTGTGGCTCCGGGCGAGGGAGGGAGTGAGTGAGTGAGTGAGTGAGGGTGTGTGTGTGTGTGTGTGTGTGTGAGTGAGGGAGGGAGGGAGAGTGTGTGAGTGAGGGTGTGTGTGTGTGTGTGTGTGAGTGAGGAACTGCTTCCAGCGAGTGTAAACTTGTCTTTTCTCTGTTATAGTGGTACGCTGCCATCCACTTCCCCACAGTTAGTGTGTGTGTGTTGTTACTGTACTTACAGAAGAAGGTTAAAGCATGTAGAGCAGACCTCAAGTGTGTGTGTGTGTGTGTGTGTGTGTGTGTGTGTGTGTGTGTGTGTGTGCTTTAAAGGTTATAGATTTAGGCTGAATTATAGGCTGAATTTAGTGTTGTTGCGTGTATATACTGTAGAGTGACCACTGGGAGTCTGTGTCATGATTGCTGAGGAGAGAATATATCCTCACAGATGTGGACATATAGGGGGTTTCAAACTGGGGTCCCGGGACCCTCAGGGCCCACAAGGAAAAGTTGAAAGAAATGTAAAAAAAAAAAAAAAAAATTGAATTAATTGATTTACATTTTTTTTTATTTAAGCCATTTATTTTAAACTAATGTGTTTATTTAAATATTTTTTTAATCAAATGTATTTAGTTAGATTCTTAAACTAAACTAACAAAATAAATACATTTCACTAAAATAAAAATAATGAAAAATACAATTTTATTTAAATAAAAAAAATGAACACATTAGATTAAAATGAATTCCTATATAAAATAATACAATTTAAATGATAAATAAATACATTTAAATAAAAAATAACTACATAAAAGAAACATTTATTGATAAAATTGAATAAGTAAAACTTGATTTCATTAAATTTTAAGCCATTTATTTTAATCTGATGTTAATTTATTATATATTTACATTGAATTGTTTTCATTTATTTAAATTATTTTTTATTTCAGTCAAATTTATTTGTTTAATTATTTGTATATTAATCAGATTTATTTGGTTTATTAAAATAATTAAAATAAATACTATTTTATTTAAATGAATAAATAATAAATGAACACATTTGCTTTTATTTAAATTAAATTAAATAAATAAAAATAAGAAAAGCAATGTACTAAGCAAATAAATAAATTGATTAAAATAGAAAATATAGAAAATGACTATTGCTTTAAATAAATAACAATTGATTCAAATTGTTTGATTAAAAAATAATAAATTCATATCTAACTTGCATCTATCAGTATAGAACTACTACAGTCAGTAGAAAAAAATACTTTAATATAATATACTAAAAATAAGTTTAATATAAAATTGTTATTGCTGCTGTTACTGTACACTGATAGATGTTTTACACTTCCACAACATTCCTCCTGCGTCATAGCTGAGATCACGTGATCTCGCGCGTCCGTACAGTGACGTGAGTTTGAATCCCCGGTCCCGCCCCGCGCGCGCGCTCCTCCCGGTTCCCGTTTCCCACCAGCACTGAAGGTTCACCGGAGACTCGAGCTTCCCGTGGCCGCTGTCAGACGCTCCGCGAGCGGCGAGAGAAGAGCGCAAACCCTGGGGAGAGCAACGCGAACGCCGCGGCACCCACGGTAACGTTCATGCGCTCGCGTTGTTTACGAACGCGTTTGAGTGACACATTTCCCCACAGATGCAGGAGTAAATCCACTGAACGTTCTGGATGGAATAAATCTGTGCGTGGTTTTCGCTTCTTCAGTGGCGTTTGTGTTTAGAAGACGCGTTTGCATGCATACAGCAGCGAAACATCTGCGTGTTGGTAAATATAACGTATATCCACGTATAGCGATCGTTTAGGTATGTTTTATAAGGACACTTATTTATAGGCGATATCCTGATTTATGCGCTGTTAAACACTAATTTACCCAGAAATACTGAAAACCTGAGATTTATAATTTATTGTGTTATTTCGTCAGGAAGTTCGCACGCGTTTACTCGGAACGCTTGGTAGATTTGATCGCGTATGATCCGTTTTGATGTGGGAAAAAAGGCGAGTCTGATTGAAATGAAGCAAACTTGCACTGAATTCGGGTTTACATTACCAACTATATTAGCATTAACTAATAATAGCGTTCTGTTTATTATTTCCGTGCGTTCTGCAGTTTAAATTGCTCGAGCTCTTTCTGATTAGTTGTCAATGTTTTTATCGTTCGTCAGCTGAGAATAGAAACATTCTGCAAGATATTCTAACTATACCGTTCCTCGTTACAGTTGTGGTAGGGACTTCCCTATTAATCTGTTAATTTATTATGTATTTAAATAAAATTTTAGTTATTTATTTTAATTATTATTTATTTTAATCAAATTTATATCGTTTTGTTTCATAATAGAACAACATAAATGTGTTTGATTTAAAAAATAATTAAAATAAATATCATTTTATTTAAATGAATAAGTAATAACAACACATTAGAATGCAATAAATTATACAAATTTAATGATGAATAAATTTCAATAAAAAATGTTTTTGTTTTATATATTATGTTATATATATTTTTTTCTGCACACCATTTACAATGACACAATGCATCATAGTTATATGCTGCAAACACAAAAGATCAAACAAATGTAATAATTAATTAATTATTTGTTGATTTGACGAAGCATGCTTACAATATAGAGAATGTGTAGAACCATGTTTCTTACATTCCAAGAGTCACTTGTAGAATGTGGCTGATTGTAAATCAATATTCTGTATTGATCCAGAAACATTGTCCTCTGTGTACAGAAAGTTTGTTGATTTTCAATGCATTTATTACGGGTCTGAGTGACGTTGGTTTAAGTGTTGATTGAGATTGACCTTTTGATCACCAGCTCTGATCTTTAACCACTAGGCCATGGTAACCTTTCTAGAATGATTATACCATAATTATGCTTTTATTCTGTAGTTTTTAAGTTGTATAAAGTGATTTATTATAGGGATGCACCGATTTGAAATTTTTGGCCGATGCCGATAACCGATTAATTCTTTATATTTGAAAGCCGATAACCGATATATTGGCCGATAAATATAAATCCAATTTTTTTATGTAATATTTGAGAGCCTGATTACAAAAACAAAAGTCTCCCCATTAAAATCCATGTCTCAATCACACAATTATAATGTTCTCATTATAATTTGATGTAGCTGATATGACAGACGTGCGCTTTGAAGAGATTTCAATCATATTTCAAGCAATTCAAAACCATCATGGACATGGTGAACACAATTATTTTTCGACTTTAATATATCGGTCAAATTTTCTTAATTATTAGCATTAAAAATTAACATATATCGGCCCATACCGATATGGTGGCCGATATATCGTGCATTTCTTATTTATTGTCTGTCACTCAATGCATAGTGTATATATTTGGTTATTCCAATGAAGAACTTGGATAATAAAGGGATTAACACAAACTTCCCCATGAACTCTGCATTATCTGGTCACAGACGGCTCAGACTGCGTCTCCATTGCGTTTTTGATGTGAGTGAGTTTAAGCCTTTAAGAGGGTTTAACCCATCTGTGCCGAGCTAATGGACTGATCTTCAGGCTGGGTCGTGTGTCTCCAGGTTCTGCTTTTACCCAGACTTGTCAAGAGCGACAGGATTTGCTATACGTTTTTCTTCCTGCATATTTCACAGCTCAGTGTGTTTCTGATTCTGTCATTGGATAGATGGGCGTAGTTTATTGATCCCTGAAGGGAAATTCCTGAAATTTTCCAGAATGTTTACAGAGATGGGGGTTTTATTACAACAGCAATAGAGTGAAAAAGATTTTTTGAAGCGTTTAATAGCCTAAAAGATTATTCGAGCACATTTTACAAGAAAATACTATTTCAGCTGTTATATACTGTTTCAATTATTTGTGAAATTTACTAGCAATTTCTGAGTCAAAATTATTTCTATACCTTTTTTTCATTGTAGTACTAGTAGTAATTTGTTAAATAATTGATGTGAATTTTAATGTACAAACAGTTATGAATGTATTTCCCTTTTAAAGGTACACTGTGTAGGAGATCCGTTTTTGTCAAACAGCGACCCCTAGAGTCGCTGTGGAGTACTTGTACTGTCGTATATAGCACTCACGCAGAGATTGCTCTGCACTCACGGCCTGATCCCTCCCCCTGTACACCGGTACCTGTTCAGTAGGATGGAAGCTGTAACGAGTGGAAATAAGGCGTGGCCCCTTTAAGAGCTGCGCGCCCTGTTGAACTGTCGACAGTCTGTATTGTATGTGCGCCTCGAACACCACATGTATGCGGCGCCGGGTTATTTCTGTTTGATGCTCATTCTTATCCTATTTTTAAGTGAAAGCCTGACCGAGTGAGACTCTTGTCCGGTTCCTCACGCGGTCGGTTTCTCGTTATATTTTCCTTGACTCTTCCGACCACGTTTTCTTCGTCGACCCTGCCATGATTCACTTCTGAAATGAAATAGTGTCTGTCATAGAGGCCGTTTCATAGATTGTTGATGTATGTGATGCGTGAGGGAGTGCAATAATGACAGAATTTTAGCAGATATTTTTTGCCGTAAAGCAATTCGTTACATCGCGAGACCTGATATCACACAATACTTCCTGATGCTGCGGCTGGCCGATTATTCAGAATGATATCTGCCGATACCGATTATTCAGAATGATATCTGCCGATACTGATAGCCGATTATTCGGAATGAAATCTACCAATACCGATTATTCAGAATGATATCTGCCGATACCGATTATTCAGAATGATATCTACCGATTATTCAGAATGATATCTGCCGATACCGATTATTCAGATTATTCAGAATGATATCTGCCGATACCGATTATTCAGAATGATATCTGCCGATACCGATTATTCAGATTGTTCAGAATGATATCTGCCGATACCGATTATTCAGAATGATATCTGCCGATACCGATTATTCAGATTATTCAGAATGATATCTGCCGATACCGATTATTCAGAATGATATCTGCCGATACCGATTATTCAGAATGATATCTGCCGATACCGATTATTCAGAATGATATCTGCCGATACCGATTATTCAGAATGATATCTGCCGATACCGATTATTCAGATTGTTCAGAATGATATCTGCCGATACCGATTATTCAGAATGATATCTGCCGATACCGATTATTCAGATTATTCAGAATGATATCTGCCGATACCGATTATTCAGAATGATATCTGCCGATACCGATTATTCAGAATGATATCTGCCGATACCGATTATTCAGAATGATATCTGCCGATACCGATTATTCAGAATGATATCTGCCGATACCGATTATTCAGAATGATATCTGCCGATACCGATTATTCAGAATGGTATCTGCCGATACCGATTATTCAAAATGATATCTGCCGATAGCCGATTATTCAGAATGATATCTGCCGATACCGGTTATTCAGAATGATATCTGCCGATACTGATAGCCGATTATTCAGAATGATATCTGCCGATAGCCGATTATTCAGCATGCTATCTGCCGATACCGATTATTCAGAATGATATCTGCCCGATACTGATAGCCGATTATTCAGAATGATATCTGCCGATACAGATAGCCGATTATTCAGAATGATATCTGCCGATACAGATAGCCGATTATTCAGAATGATATCTGCCGATACTGATAGCCGATTATTCAGAATGATATCTGCCGATACTGATAGCCGATTATTCAGAATGATATCTGCCGATACTGATAGCCGATTATTCAGAATGATATCTGCCGATACAGATAGCCGATTATTCAGAATGATATCTGCCGATACTGATAGCCGATTATTCAGAATGATATCTGCCGATACTGATAGCCGATTATTCAGAATGATATCTGCCGATACAGATAGCCGATTATTCAGAATGATATCTGCCGATACTGATAGCCGATTATTCAGAATGATATCTGCCGATACTGATAGCCGATTATTCAGAATGATATCTGCCCGATACAGATAGCCGATTATTCAGAATGATATCTGCCGATACAGATAGCCGATTATTCAGAATGATATCTGCCGATACAGATAGCCGATTATTCAGAATGATATCTGCCGATACTGATAGCCGATTATTCAGAATGATATCTGCCGATACTGATAGCCGATTATTCAGAATGATATCTGCCGATACTGATAGCCGATTATTCAGAATGATATCTGCCGATACAGATAGCCGATTATTCAGAATGATATCTGCCGATACAGATAGCCGATTATTCAGAATGATATCTGCCGATACTGATAGCCGATTATTCAGAATGATATCTGCCGATACTGATAGCCGATTATTCAGAATGATATCTGCCGATACTGATAGCCGATTATTCAGAATGATATCTGCCGATACAGATAGCCGATTATTCAGAATGATATCTGCTGATACTGATAGCCGATTATTCAGAATGATATCTGCCGATACTGATAGCCGATTATTCAGAATGATATCTGCCGATAGCCGATTATTCAGAATTATATCTGCCGATTATTCAGAATAATATCTGTCGATAGTTTGATTTTCTTAAGGAAAAATCTATTGCGGTAAACTATATAGGGAACCTCTCACTTGGTTCATTACTGTAATATTAGAGGTTAAAATGAAAAACAGAGTTATTATATTCAACTGCTGTTTATGTTATAATAATTAAACTCAATTAAAAACTGTAATATTTGTATGCAACTCAGTTAAAGGTAGTTTTCATAAACACTTGTATTCATGGCAGATTTATTCAAACAGAAAAAACAAACGTATATCATTAACAGTAATTCGATCACGCTTTCGATTGACAGGATATAATCGGCCCTGATCATCATCTGTTTTTAAACAATTGACTAATTACAGATAATTGCTTTTGTCGGCCGATACATCCATAATTTAGACGAGAGAGCAATGAAGAAACAAGCAGTCGTGAAAAATACAAAACAGAATGTGAACCAAATAAGTCAAGATGAGTAAGAACTTTCTAATTACGTTCATTTTTATCAATGTTGCTGTTTATTTTTGACCCTTTAGTTAAACAAATCCATTCATTCATCCATATGGGGCTTCTTTGTTTTTCTTCAGCTGAATTTCAGTCCCAAAGGGATCTTCATTATAATTGCCGGTGTAATCGCAAAACATCCACTGTACAATCCTCGTTATTATTCACGAAGATACTCGCATTGTTTTATCTGCCTCTCAGAGAATATGATCTGCTTCTCTCTCGTTCTCTGATGTCGAGCAGATCTGGAGGGCCATTGGCTCGTTTTGCTCCTGCGGTTCAGTTTGACCTACATTTCTGCACCAGGCCATTAAAGTTCACAGAATGAGTCTGACAGAATGCAGTCGTGTAATTCCTGCAGTTTTCCACTGCCGCTCTCCATAGACACCAGAAGAATCCGCCGATGGTTTACATCACTGTCACGCCGCTGAAGATACCAGGACTGTCAGAGATTACAAACAAACACTCACACTTTATGAAGCAGAAGATATAACATTTGCTTGGGTGTTCTGAGTGGTTGCTAGGGGGTTACTAGGTTGTTACTAGGTTTTCAGCTGTTTTCTGGTCCATTTGCTTGAGTGTTTTAAATGGTTGCTAGGGTGTTTACTATGTTTTCAGCTGTTTTCTGGTCCATTTGCGTGGGTGTTCTGAATGGTTGCTAGGGTGTTACTATGTTTTCAGCTGTTTTCTGGTCCATTTGCGTGGGTGTTCTGAGTGGTTGCTAGGGTGTTACTAGGTTTTCAGCTGTTTTCTGCTCTATTTGCTGGGGTGTTCTGAGTGGTTGCTAGGGGGTTACTAGGGTGTTACTATGTTTTCAGCTGATTCCTGGTCCAGCAAGTGAAAATGGTGCATCTGATCACTTAGATCTCTGAGGAATCATTCATGTCAATGCACTAATACTCTTAACTTTAATACTCAGTTCTAGAGGTTACGGTATAGTGTTGTTTCCAAACTCGCCCGTCTGCATTGCTCAGTCAAAAATTGCTTGAGTTGTGCTATTTGTTGTCGACACACAGATAAACATGGCAGCATTGCACGACTGTTGGAAGCAATGCCTGTCTGCCGTAACACACTTTCAAGGGACCACAGACAGCATGCAGTCTGAATGTGCTTCAGGGCATTAAAGACTTGTGTACTAGGCATCACTGCTGTCGTGATCTGGTGCTTTCAAAAATACAGTGATCCTAGGACAGTGCAAGAGTAAACATCAGGCTAAATATAAACTTATCTGTGGTCCGATACCCACACTGTGCATTCCAGTGAAGAAGCAATCCAGTCAGATTGTGAAATGCCCAGCCTGAATATATATATATATATCCGTGTGGCATTTCAGTGTAACGGGCCATGACGACGGATCCAGGCTCGGAATCGGACGTCCCGCACACAGAAGCCAAACCGTCCCCCCCGAAACACTTCCCAGCATCAGGACACGAAAGCCCGGACACACGGCACCAGGTGAGTCGGGTCAGCTCCAGCTTTCCTCATTTACTGTCAAAACGGCTAAAAAACTACATTTTATACTTGTATATTACTAATATTGGAATGCGTGTGTCCATCAAAGTCTTTTTTTTTCAAGGCTAGCGTATTTTTGCAGTTGTTTCCAATGGGAGCGCTGTGTTTTGTTTAAATGGCAGCAGCGTGACGAGGAGATGACAACTATTTCACGCTGAACGGATGTTGTTTTTTTACCAGTCAGCGAGAGTTGAAGAATGTTCAACTTTGGGTAAAACACAGTGGGTAAAACATCACTGTCACTTTTTACCCAGCCGTCCAATCACAGTATAGGAGGGGCGGGACTAATACTGTGATTGGCCATTGTGTTCACGAGCTCAACATATATGTCTGTGATTGGCTATTGTGTTCACACACTCAACATATATGTCTGTGATTGGCCATTGTGTTCACACACTCAACATGTATGTCTGTGATTGGCCATTGTGTTCACAAGCTCAACATATATGTCTCTGATTGGCCATTGTGTTCACACACTCAACATATATGTCTGTGATTGGCCATTGTGTTCACACACTCAACATATATGTCTGTGATTGGCCATTGTGTTCACACACTCAACATATATGTCTGTGATTGGCCATTGTGTTCACACACTCAACATATATGTCTGTGATTGGCCATTGTGTTCACGCGCTCAACATGTATGTCTGTGATTGGCCATTGTGTTCACACACTCAACATATATGTCTGTGATTGGCCATTGTGTTCACACACTCAACATATATGTCTGTGATTGGCCATTGTGTTCACGCGCTCAACATGTATGTCTGTGATTGGCCATTGTGTTCACATGCTCAACATATATGTCAAGTCAAGTCAAGTCATCTTCATTTATATAGCGCTTTTAACAATGGATTGTTTCAAAGCAGCTTTACAGAGATAAACATATAATTTAAGGTAACCGATTGTTTTGGCGTTATAGCGGTTCTTGAATAATGTTACTTCCAGCTAAAGTTAACTTTGATTGATTCACCTCCGTCGAAATGATCAGACTTTAAACGCGAACCTGTGATTAACGCTGACGGCGTTCACATGCTCATTCAGAATTCTATAGTTATGTGCTTTTTAAAATATGTGCGCAGGTTTGTAATTCATACAACCCAGCCTAAACAAACTACTTTTCTTGCCTAAAAATTTTGATACAGAATTTTGTTTTATTTTATCACTTCGGGTTACGCGAGCCGGAATTCACAACGCTTTATCTGTAGAGTGGGAAAGGGATCCTCCATAGGGAGAGGATAGTGGATACTTCAGCACTGCATTGTCATCGGGTCCAGGCAAAGCTCCCTCGTCAGATCTGGACACGGCCTGGATCCGGCAGGCTGCGGGAAAACCTCGGGATAAACAAAGACACTAATATTAGCGTAGATGCCATTCTTCTTATGATGTAGCGAGTACATCAAGATTTAAGGGAAGTGTTCCCAGTTCCGGCTGACCTAATCTATGCAGCCTAACATTGAATTATCGAAGTCTATAATGTATTATGTGTATGCTAGGTCAAAGAGATGTGTTTTTAGTCTAGCTTTGAACTGACAGAGTGTGTCTGCTTCCCGGACAATGGTAGGAAGATTGTTCCAAAGTTTTGGTGCTAAATAGGAAAAGGATCTACCGCCTGCAGTCGATTTAGATATTCTAGGTATTATCAACTGGCCGGAATTTTGAGATCGCAATAGACGTGAAGGACTATAATGCGTTAAGAGCTCGCTCAAGTACTGCGGAGCTAAACCATTTAGTGCTTTGTAGGTAATCAACAATATTTTAAAATTTATACGATGTTTAATAGGGAGCCAATGCAGTGTTGACAGAACCGGGCTAATATGGTCATATTTCCTGGTTCTGGTAAGAACTCGAGCTGCGGCGTTTTGAACTAGCTGTAGTTTGTTTATTAAGCGTGCAGGGCAACCACCCAGTAGAGCATGTTCCGCATTTCCCAATGAGAGCATATGGCGTATTTTAGATATATTTTTAAGATGGAAAAATGCAGTTTTACAGATACTAGACACGTGGCTTTCAAAAGAAAGGTTGGTATCAAACAGCACACCCAGGTTCCTAACCAGTGTTGGGCAGTAACGCGTTACTAGTAACGCGTTACAGTAACGCAGTTACTTTTGACAGTAACTAATTCTGTAACGCATTACTTTTTAAATAAATTAACTCCGTTACCGTTACCATATGGCGCGTTGTCCGTTACTTTTTTAAATTAATTAGTTGCTGGAGCGGCTGAGAAGTGTGCGCTGTCATTACACAGTACGAGAGCACTGAAGAGACTGCTAGCATTATACAGAGCGAGAGGACACCTGAGGACACATAACAAACTCACTGGCTGAGTTGTTTACGTACACGTGAGGCAGCGCGAGCACGGAGATTAAAGCTGCACGGAGAGCGCTGAGCACTTGATGCGCATTTAAAACACAGACAGCGAAACGGTATGAAGACAGAACACTTAATAACACATTGCCATATCATTATAAAGTAATTAATTTTTTGACTAGATGCTGCATCAGCAGAGAAAGAACAGAAGCTTGCCGTCGAGTCTGAGAGGAATAACATTAGTAACGGCTAACTTACCTCAAGCGATTAAAGCAATGTGACAAAAACACACGCAGACCTGACCCACATGTTTTATGTCGCAATTGTTACCATCTATTTGCATTAGTTTATATCCAGCTGGTCACTTTTATGCATTCATTAGCCGGCGAAGTTGTATTTTAAAAACTAGTGACGTGATTGATTGCTTACATTGATGTGTTCATGCAGCCGACATCAAGTCTAATCAAGTGTTCTAAAATTTAAGCAAATAAAGTGAAAGACTGTACATGTAATATAGGTCTACATTTATGTAATTTTAATGCTCTGGCCTTTGCAGATATTTAAATATGGCCATCTTCTTTAAGCTTGAATCATATAAATGTCACTTTACAATAAGATTACAATTTTAGCATTAAATATGGTTAATAAATGTTGAAGTATCATTCATTGTTAGATGTATTTGTATCTCCTTAGTTAATGTAGGCGTACTATGAATTAACAAGAATGATCAAGGTACAATTGTATTGCTCAAATATTAATTCATGCAGTAAAAACCACAGTGGTAAAAACGTATACTGTCAGCTGCATGAAAATATCAATGTTGAGAAAGCAAACAAGTCACTAGCTTTAAAAATGCTTGTTTTGTTATTTATTTCAGAAATCCTTGATATATTCAGTTTGTGCTGGTCTGACTTAAATAAAATAGTGTTTAAAAATTACTTTCTGTTTAAAGGAGAACTCCGGCGCAAAATGAACCTTTGGTCTAATTACACATTGTTACCTAGTCAACCGTTATCTGAGATTTGTTTTCATGATTATCGAATGTAAATAGTTTTATCTCTAAAAACAGTTTAGCCTATAAAGCTAGTATAACGCTAGTATATTGGGCATAGTGTAATGACAAATAAAAATCGCTTGTTAATACCACTAACAAGGCTGAAAATAGCCCCACACTAACACGGTAGCATAATGAGGGTCCCTACCTTCAAACCGAAGCATTGAGAACTTTGTAAGTGTACAGACAGTTTAATAAGAAGATATTTTAAACATACAGTCAACTTCTATGTTGATATATATATGTTGAGCATGTCAACGTATACAGACAGGAGCCATCTTTGAAATACAGCCTTTACCAGTCGATCTACGAACGCCGATCCAAGTGCGCTGGTGAGATGTGAACGAGCTATAAGTTGTGATAAGGTGAGCGCGAACAGCAGGCTTGGATCGGCGTTCGTAGATCGACTGGTAAAGGCTGTATTTCAAAGATGGCTCCTGTCTGTATACGCGAAGTTGACTGTATGTTTAAAATATCTTCTTATTAAACTGTCTGTACACTTACAAAGTTCTCAATGCTTCGGTTTGAAGGTAGGGACCCTCATTATGCTACCGTGTTAGTGTGGGTCTATTTTCAGCCTTGTTAGTGGTATTAACAAGCGATTTTTATTTGTCATTACACTATGCCCAATATACTAGCGTTATACTAGCTTTATAGGCTAAACTGTTTTTAGAGATAAAACTATTTACATTCGATAATAATGAAAACAAATCTCAGATAACGGTTGACTAGGTAACAATGTGTAATTAGACCAAAGGTTCATTTTGCGCCGGAGTTCTCCTTTAAGTCAGTTTTGTGTTTGTATAGACCATAACGCATAAAAGGGCATTAATGGGAACATTTAAGAACTTTCTTTAAAAAAGTAACTAAAAAGTTACTTTTAACAGTAACGCATTACTTTTTGGTGTAAGTAATCAACAAAGTAATTGAGTTACTTTTTGAATGAAGTAACTAGTAACTGTAACTAGTTACTATTTCTTAGTAACTAGCACAACACTGTTCCTAACCGACGACGAAGACTTGACAGAGCAGCCATTAAGTGTTAGACAGTATTCTGGGTTATTACGTGTGGAAGTTTTTTGTCCAATAATTAGAATCTCTGTCTTTTCAGAATTTAGTAGTAGGAAATTACTAGTCATCCAATTTTTTATATTAGCTATGCATTCCGTTAATTTTGTGGATTGGTAAGTTTCGTTGGGTTTTGAAGAAATATACAGCTGAGTATCATCGGCATAACAGTGAAAGCTAACTCCATGTTTCCTAATGATATTTCCTAATGGTAGCATGTACAGAGTGAACAGCAGCGGTCCTAGTACTGAGCCTTGTGGTACGCCATACTGAACTTGTGATCGATAAGACATCTCTTCGTTTACTGCTACAAACTGATAACGGTCAGTTAAGTGTGATTTAAACCATGCTAATGCAATTCCACTAATGCCAACATAGTTTTCGAGTCTATTTAAAAGAATGTTGTGGTCAATGGTGTCAAATGCAGCACTAAGATCGAGTAACACTAATAGAGAGATACAACCACGATCGGATGATAAGAGCAAATCATTTGTGACTCTAATGAGAG